AAAAGGAGTTATTTATTAACATACGAACTCGCTTTTACAAAAAAAGTTGATTGCGTTACTGCTTTAATCACAAAGCACTGGTGCGTAAATGCTATATCTGACGCTGACTGAATCAATCGATTCTGAAGTCGTTGTTGCACTCTATTCGAAATAATATGCTTCAGAGTGCGTTCTGAGGAGCATCTTTGAGCATCCAGTCTAATATTCCTTCTACTGTATGAGGTATCTCGAATTGTTTCTAAAATAAGAAAAAAGCCTTAATCAAGTTCTCCTATCCGTGTATGACAAAACCACAAGGCCAGAATTTTTGGTAACAGTAGCTGATTCAAATGAAGTCATTTAATGCACAAACTGGATACCACACTAGTCAGAAGAGCAAAGTGAAAGCGGGGCTGGATGGCAGAAAGAGTTTATACAACAGATGCATTTTGAGGCTCTGATTTTTTTTAAACGTTTTTGTACATTCGTACAAGTGCAACCCAGTTAAAAACGCACTAGGCTTGCCAGTGCAATCATACGTTTTTGCACCAGACTTGAAGTACTCAGGTCTTTAACTGCAGGAATGGTTGTTGCTTTGCACTTACCTTTTGCGCTCACTAGCGCAAATCGCCATAAATTTTGCATAAAGTAAATAAACAATTTCCATTTAACGGTCGTTTTTTGAAACTGACCTAGCTGTTCAGTGAGTGGTTTTCCTGCCAAAACTTTCACGTGCTCGTAGGTGGATACTCCTGGTACTTGGGGAGCTAAATTTGAAATCTTGAAATTGCACGTAGACAGGGGACATCCTTCCAAAATTTCAGCGTTCTAGCTTCTCTGGTTCCCGAGTTAGCAATTTTCCCACCACAAACTTCATGCACCCTTACTTGAGCACCACGCATACGTGCAGGCTGAATGTGAAATCTTTAGCTCATACATGCGCAGGGAATATCCCTGCAAAGTTTCATCCTCTTATCTTGTCTAGTTCTCGAGATCGCTTTCTCGCCAAAAAATTTGCATATTTTTAAGGAGTCCTTACGCGACACCCAGGCGTAGGCGGACGATGATATTAGAACGGGAGGGTAGCGCATGAAATATGTGGGCACATATACCCGAAGTTTCATCCTTCTAGCTTTTTGGCACACAGACATACACATAAACACACAGACAGCCGCTTGCAAATACGCGTTTTTGCAATTTGCATATATGCAAGAACACATAAAAACGCGTATTGATGAGTTATTGA